CATTAAATTAATAATTCGAAGCCATCAAGTCAATTCTGAGAGATGGCGACTAGAGATGGGCATGAACTACCCATTGGCAATTCAGCCTGGTGCGCAAAACGATGTTTCGCGGGCCCAGTGCTTCCCTCCACCACCTCTTCGGGTAACCACCCACTCACCGGCTGCACGTCATCTGGGTGGGCAGTTGTTCAAAGAGGCAGGGAAGTGCATAGTGCCTGCAGAACATGTATGTGGGCACCACGCCAAACCAAGCTGAACCACAGTTTGTGCCCATCTCGAATGGTGACCCTTCCCAGATTTTCCAGGTCTAGCATGTTCAGAAGTGGTTTGCCATTCCCTTCTTCTTGGCAGATTGGCCAAGGCTGGCTTCACTCTTAAGAGACCCAGTGGGGATTCAAACTCTCAGCTTCTAGCTTTACAACTAAGTACCTAACTCACTGGGCTATCCAGCTAGCAACATTTTAGTTACAGCAATAACATGCTAGGACTCCTAAAGGAAATTCAATAGGGGAGCATTGTGACAGTAGTGTAATGTGAGCGAGACAATCCAGAAGTAGAAAACTCATGCCAAATTTCTATTTTGACAGCTACAACACTTTACACTATCATTTTACCCCCACAACAAGTTGTGAGACTCCAGTCAGGCCACCTCACATTGAATTGGTGCTTATATATCAAAAAGACATTCCATTTAATGTCATTTTCTCCCTTAATTTTTCCTGGCTTAGGTGTATTAGAACCAGGCTGAGTTTTATAGCACCTTGGAGGGCTGCCTGTAACTTGAGTGTCCATCCTTAGAAAAGTAAGAAAGAAAAAAGAAAATATAATCTGTTTTCTTTGCTCCAAAAGATGCACAGACTTTCCACCCCCCTGTTTTGTGTGAAAAAAGTGTGTCTTATGGTGCGAAAAATACGGTAGGTGTCAGAGAAACTGCATAGGAAAGTTTTCTTCCTTATATTGTTTCCCTAGCTAACTATAGTTTCTGTTCTGCATTTGAAACAGGTGGCATTCTTATTTTAGACAATCCTTAGAAGACTATTCAACCACACTAGCCTTCACCTAAAGATCCAATTGACCAATTTTAACAACATCAAGGCCCAAGCAATCTGGGCTTGGTACATACACATCACATTGCACGCTCAACTAGTATCCTATGAGCACAAACTGTGCTCCAAGGAGGTTATCTAACAGTCTTAATGTTCTCGCACGCTCGGGATACTGGGTACAACAGACATCAGGTTCTCATTTGGGTGCCCTATCTGATAGAAAGCACCAGAAATAAATATTCTGTAGGGTTGTTTTTTTTTAAGTGACAACATACTACTTTTCCCCCACTTCCATTACACTGGCTGAAATCACCCAAAAGGCATACATTCTGGAAGCCCAAGTGCTTCAAGGTAAAGAAACCTCATCCGATTCGGCATGCAGCAGAGATAAGGTCTACAGAAATGCCTTCTGCAGCAGTGCACAATTTCAGCCACCGTGACAGGGCAGCGTTTCAGCCCAACGATTCTTATTGCAGAGAATGCGCACATCTTGGGCAAGTACCGTCAAGGTTTTGTAGTAAAGCAAAGCAACACACACACACACACACAAAGTGTGTGACTTATAAATCACTCCAGTCAAGGTTTTGTAGTAAAGCAAAGCAACACGCACACACACACACACACAAAGTGTGTCACTTATAAATCACTCCAGAGTGCTCTCTGGGCAGTTTACAATTTAATTATACAGGCTACACGTTGCCCTCTGCCGGTGAGCTGGGTACTCAATTTACCAACCTCAGGAAGGACGGCAGGCTGAGTGAACCTCAAGCCAGCTACCCAAGCCGAGGATCGAACTCAGGACACGAGCAGAGTCTTTGACAGCAGTACTGCAGTTCCACCAATGCACTATGGGGCTCGCCAAACACAACATATTAAGAAGTCAACTCATGGTCACCGGCTACAGTGTTTGAAGTAGCTCTATGGCACTTACATAGGCATGTCAAGAAACAGCATACAGGGACAGCACAGAATCCTTGCACCCCTGGGGACAAAACAAGCAGCCGGGGGGAAAATGGGATAGAATATCCCTCCATCCATTAAGACAAAAACAAAGCTCAACCTAGCCTGTGTTTCGATGGCTGCAAAGTTTTTTGTTGCTGTTCTAGAACTTATCATTACAAGATTGATAAAGGCTATCCACATTTGTTTATTCTATCCACCTTGTTATCTGTATTCAAAACACTAAGTGAGAAGACTTATTTGGGCTCTGGGCAGGACGTCCACTTTCCCCTCCATATCAAAATAGAGAAACAATGTTCATGTGTTGTAGATATCCAAGCAGAAGCATGCTGGACGCATCCTTGCAATTCACTACCTGGTTGCTGCCTTGGAAAACAATCTTAGGTGAAGGAATGAGTTGTTGGATGCTAAATGTTATCATGGCATTGTGTGTGTGTGTGTGTGTTCATGCCATCAAGTCAATTCCAATTTATGCCAACCCTTTCTAGGGTTCCTAGGTAGAAATACACAGAAGCGCTAAATGTTATCATGGCATTGTGTGTGTGGGTGCATGCCAACAAGTCTACTCCAATTTATGCCAACCCTTTCTAGGGTTTCCTAGGTAGGAATACACAGAAGTGATGGAGCATTCCCTTCTGGGGATCCTGGACTGTGCAGCTTGCCCAAGGCTACACAGGCTGGCTCTTCCCCCAGGAGGTACAATGGGGCGCTGAATTCCCAACCTCTGGCTCTGCAGCCTGGTACCTAAACCTCTGAGTTATCCAACCAGCTTAATCATCACCCTATGTTGTCAAGTCAATTCTCACTTGTGGTGACACGTTTCAGGGTTTTCAAGGTATACTCAGAAGTGGTTGGCCATTCCTTTCTTCTGGGGTCGCCCTGGGACGGTGCAGCTTGCTCAAGGCCTCACAGGCTGACCCTACTCGGAGGAGGTACAGTGGAGAATTGAACACCCAACCTCTGGCTCTGCAGCCTGGTACCTAAACCTCTGTTATCCAACCAGCTTAATCATCACCCTATGTTGTCAAGTCAATTCTCACTTGTGGTGACACGTTCCAGGGTTTTCAAGGTATACCCAGAAGTGGTTGGCCATTCCTTTCTTCTGGGGTCGTCCTGGGACGGTACAGCTTGCTCAAGGCCTCACAGGCTGACCCTACTCGGAGGAGGTACAGTGGAGAATTGAACACCCAACCTCTGGCTCCGTAGCCATCACCTAAACCACTGAGCCATCCATCCAGCTGGTCGTGACATTATTGCTTACTTTTCATGAGCAGATTGCACAAATGTTGCTGGTCTGCAACACAGTTAAAGGCGTGCCACTTCCATAGACTAAAGAGCACACACTGACAGGCTCACATTATATATACACCTTGGGCTAGACAGACAGCATCACAACAGTGACTACCTTGCCAGCACAAAGGGGCCAAGCTGCCCATTTCCAGCTGTTTCCAGCACACCTTTATTATCTTCTTAGTCATGTTTAGTCTACAGTTTGACTGACCTACAAGTAGAATTAAGCCACGTGCAAAGAGACAGCTGACTTCTGTACGATGGTCAGGAGGCAGCACTATATACGTCAAGGAGCAGAACTGTTTTAGCTTTGTTTCTGTGCGATGAGTAGTAATTCACAGCTTTTGTGCCTCAGCCTACAACTATGCTCCCAAAGGCTTCCTCGAGCCCTTAAACAATCATACACAAAAGAAGACACCAGTTGCTTCTCTGGATGATTCCCTGTTTTGGACGTGCCTCCCAGATCAGCAACGTAATTCACAGCTTTTGTGCCTCAGCCTACTACAACTATGCTCCCAAAGGCTTCCTGGAGCCCTTAAACAACCATACCAAAAAGAAGACACCAGTTGCTTCTCTGGATGATTCCCTGTTTTGGACCTGCCTCCCAGATCAGCAACGTACACAGCATACAAAAGACAAGATATCTGAAACAAGTCCAACACTTATTTCCTTTGACACAAATGCAGGCTACATCCACACAACACATTAAAACCAGGAATTTCAGCTCAACAACACATGTTGTGAATGGTCTATGGCTACCTTTCTGCCTGCTTCCCTCCCCTTCCAGGGAGAGGTAATCAAACCAGGAAGGGGAGGGCTTGAAACTGGGATTAGGTTAAATTTATCCATAGTGGGTTTGTCAGGGCCTGAGAGATCCTGGCTTGCTTTAGCACATACAACAATAACTTCACATTTGGACATCATGTGAAGCCTCCCTCTTTTGCTAACTTACTTACAAATAGTCAAGAATGAACAAGAGGCATGCAGCTCACCTATTTGTATAGAGTTTAATAAAAATGGGGTTTACTAGAGCTATAATATGATGCTTATGTGCATAGGGGTGCAAGATCCCACACTTGAGTACAAGCTACTAGTTTAGCTCTAGCAATTTCTCACAGTGCTGCAAAAGCCTTTTTTCCTTAGGCATCTCTACAAGGCTCACCATGTATGGTTATATGGGATATTTTTATGGGATATGTTCTGTACATATAGAATAAAAAATGGATCTACCCTGCGGAACTATGTCTGTTTCTAATAATTCCATGGTCTCTAATTTATCAAGGTGAAGACATCAAAATGCTTACCTGAACATCAAAATCAGGGATAAGGTGTGTGATCCCCTAGGGAAAAAAAAGTATACAACAATTAGAAGATCAAAGAAAATCAATTCTGAAGGTTCTGACTTGGTTCTCAGATACAAACGCTGCAGATATGTTGCAATATCTTCATGCAACAAGATAAAAATATTAGAAGAAGTAAGAGCAGGACCCAAAAACACATGCTTGGCTTAGATTTTTAAAAGAAGTCTTAGTTATATTAAATTAAAATTAAATAAAAAATAAATAAGAAGTATTTCACCTTATGTTAATAAAATATGAGATTCTGCATGGAGCACAAAAAATGGATCTACCCTGCGGAACTATGTCTGTTTCTAATAATTCCATGGTCTCTAATTTATCAAGGTGAAGACATCAAAATGCTTACCTGAACATCAAAATCAGGGATAAGGTGTGTGATCCCCTAGGGAAAAAAAAGTGTACAACAATTAGAAGATCAAAGAAAATCAATTCTGAAGGTTCTGACTCAGCTCTCAGATACAAACGCTGCAGATATGTCGCAATATCTTCATGCAACAAGATAAAAGTATTAGAAGAAGTAAGAGCAGGACCAAAAACCACATGCTTGGCTTAGATTTTTAAAAGAAGTCTTAGTTATATTAAATTAAATTACATTTATTAAATTAAACAAAAATAAATAAGAAGTATTTCTCTTTATGTTAACAAAATGTGAGATTCTGCATGGAGCAGAAGAGTATTTCCCAGGTGGGTGCCCATAACAAAAACAGGTGCTTCTCTGGTGGACACCTGCCTTGTCTCTGAAGGCAGGAACACCTGAATAAGTGCTCAAAAATGTTTAGCATCTGGGTGCATGAAAATAGGTGTTCCTCTAGCACAATAATATGAGCTTACCTCCTCCTTGTCCACTAAAGGTTTCACCTCCGCCATGTGAGAGTCAGGGCCTTCTGCCGACATCGTCAGTAGCTGGTACCTAAAAGAGTCAAGAATATTAGCTCAATGACATCCGTATTTGCTATGAACAAAATTAAATCTTGGAAATCTTGAACTCATAACACTTCTTGAATTAAGAAGTGCATGGCTGCTCAGAGCACTATAAAGATGAAATATAATATATGTGGCATATCGACTAGTCTAGTGCTTCCCAACCTTGGGTCTCCAGATGTTCTTGGACTAGAACTCCCAGAAGCTCTTGCCTGCATAGCTAGAAGGAAGGCTTCTGGGAGCTGCAGTCCAAGAACGTCTGGCAACATCTGGACTAGACAATGCAACAGAAAACAGCATGGGGTAGAAGAACCTCAATTCCAGCATTCTTTCTTATTCATGCTTCGTCTTTCAAAGAGGAAAGTGCTTCTGTGTTATAACACACTGAAATGTTATCTCATTTACAACAGCTACCAAGCAGTTTGGCTAATGAGAACTCCTTTCAAAGAGGAAAGTGCTTCTGTGTTATTATAACACACTGAAATGTTGTCTCATTTACAACAGCTACCAAGCAATTTGGCTAATGAGAACTGTTATGGAAGGAAAGTGTAAGAACTGGGCTAGCTAGGGCATTGCTCACTAGTGCCACTGCTCCTCATTTCCTATAACCAAGAATACAATAGGAATGGCGAGATACAGGAGGGGTCAAACATATCTAACGTCAGGACACAGAGTTGGAGAAGCGATCTGCAATCAGATTATGGCCGTACAACACCTGAAGAATGCATTTGGCGTTAAACAACACATCTGCACAACTGTCATCAATGAAAGAGCAGTTGCAATTTTTAAGAGAGGAGACCAGCTTAATAGGCCTGTGAAGATTCTCAGTCATCCAGGTGAGGTTAACTGGAAGCTGAATCGTGGCAATTGGACTTCTTTTTTATTAGGTTGAAAACTTTCACTACTCATCCAAGTAACTTCTTCAGTCAGAAGCAGCTACTTGGATGAGCAGCAAAATGTTTCAACCTAATAAGAAAGAAATCCAGTTGCTATGACTCAACGTCCAGAGACCAGCTTAAGTATGTTGGATGTCTTCTACTGGAGAGAGATCTTGACTGTGACACGCAAACATGTGTAACCAAACTCAGACAACCACTCATAATAGGAAAATGCTGTTTTGGGAAGGGAGATTTAGAATGTTCCTTTTCTCTTTTTGGTTAATCCTGAAAAGCCTTTGTTAACTTGAATGGGGGGGGGGGGGAACCACAATAGCCTGCCATTTTGAAGGTGAACAAATGTATTGTGACACACACAGGAGTGAAAATGCAAAAGGTACAGACAGTGATTAAGTATGTGATTAACAGTGGCCATTTACAAAACCATACTGCAGCTGTCAACCCAAAACCGCAGTTGGTATAAACACAAAGTGTGATTCTTTTTAAAAAAAAAACTATTTTATTCGAGCTACAAATGATAAGAATGAACACCACACTGAACTGCATTTCAGGGGTTTTACACTGCATTCTCTAGTCGGGAACACACAGGTTCATTTGCCATTGTGGGTAACACAATTAGCTCTGCTTGTGCTTTCTGCACTTCATTATTACCTGGCCTCAGTTTTACAATTCCCCTCTCCCAATCATTGGTACACGTTCTTGCAGGTAAGGATAAACAATTCATGCACCTGATGAACCCGGTCTGAAGCCCATGGAAGCTTACACCACAATAAATGTGTTATTCCAAACGCAACAGTTACATCCATAGAATACATTGACTTAGAAGACACTTATAAGGCCATCAAGTCCAATCCATTGCTCAGTGCAGGAATACAAAGCAAAGTATATCTGACAGATGGCTGTCCAATTTTCTTTTGAATGCCTCCAGTATTGCAGCACTCACTGCCTCCTGAGGTAATTGGTTCCATTGTCATACCGTTCTAACAGTTAAGAAGTTTTTTATACAGTATATATTCAGCCTAAATCTAGCATCCTGTAACTTGAGCCCATTATTTGTTGTCCTGCACCTTGGGATGATTGACAACAGATCCTGCCCTTCCTCTGTATGGCTCTCTTTCAAATATTTGAAAAATGCTATTATATCTCTCCTCTGTCTGTTCCTAAGACTAAACCTGCCCAATTCTTTCAGCCTTTCCTCATAGCGCTTAGTTTCCAGTCCCCTGATCATCCTTGTTGCTCTCCATGGAACTTGTTCCAATTTGTTTCCATCTTTCTTAAAAGTGTAGTCTCCAGAAGACTAGACACAATCAGTCAACTTACAGATAGGACATAAAAACAGTAGACAATCGTGCTGGTAGGTAGACGAAGGGCTTATTTACTGAATACAGTGGTGCCCCGAATGACAACGATAATCCACTCTGTTAAAATCACTCTACAAAATCATCGTCATGCAAAACCGACAACCCATTGGAATGCATTGAAAACCAGTTAATGTGTTCCAATGGGGAAATACCTCCTCGTCCAGCGAAGATCGCCATAGAGAATCTCTGATCAGTTGTTTAAAATCACTGTCTTTCGAAGCTTCTGTCCGGAAAAAAGCCATTTTGCGAAGGAAGGGAAGCCATTTTGCGAAGGGAAGCCATTTTGCGGAGCCAGAAAAAAAATTGTTTTGCGAACAAACAGTTCATGAAGCAAGGACCTAATCAACATAAAGCGGATTTCCCCCTTGGAACCATCGTTTTGCGATCGCAAAAAAGTCATTGTCAAGCCATTTCGTTGTTTACCGGGGTAAGCATCTAGCGGGGCACCACTGTATTCTATTCACACAGGGACCAGTCCATTGACTTCAGAAGCCTGCAAGCAAGACATTGGGAATATTCACACCCTCTGTCTCATGTTTCTCATCATCTATCACGCGGAGAGGTAATAAACTACCTCTGATACTAGAGGTTGATACACAACCTTTCAGATTAGCAGCACACTTTTTTTATGGCCTCACCCTCTATGAATTTACCCAGTCCCCTTTGAAAGCTATCCTAGTTAGCAAGGTGAAACCTCTATAAATCCATGGGGGATCAGGAATTGAATTCAGACCTTAATACTCAATGTGTCATAACAATTCATTGTCTTTAGCAAGGTGTCCTTTGACGGGAAAAGCGAGGCAACAATTAGGCAATCTAACAGAACGATACGACTACTACCATGTCTTCCCCTAGAAGAGACTGATAATAGAATAGGAATTAATTTCACCTCCTAGCAAAGCCTTCCGCAATTGGAGATTCCTCAAGATGACACCGAACTATAATTTCTGGTATCTCTGACCATTAGCTAAGCTGGATCCAAGCGATAAGGCAATAAAGCCTAAGATCACAGAGGCCTCTCGTAAAATCCTTATCAGATACTAGCTTCAATTTATTTATTTTTTCATCTGGCAAGAAATCTCTTTCATGGCTGTATGTCACAAATGATCTGTGCTATTATGTGACTGGTACACTAGATATAGGAGCTTGTTTGGATTTTTGTTTTTTTACTACGAATCCCACAATTCTCCACAGTCTGGGAGTTTTACCTGACAGATAACACTTTACAGTCACTTAAATGTGGCTTGCCTGGAAGCAAGGCCTAAACTGGAATCTCTATAAAGTCTAGCACCAAGGTTCTGTTCTTGCCCCAATGGGAGATTTCTTCCTGAACAGGAAGTCAGACCAAGCTAGTTTAGCTAGGCTTTCAAGCTTTCCAGTTGAAGCCTTTCTCCCATGTGAGCCACACTTAGGGGTCTGTTGGGTGCATGTATGTCAGACAGAACTCCCAGAATTGAGAATTACAGGATTTGTAGCACAAAATTCCAAATTCACATCCCCACCAAACATCCCAGACATTACACAAGTACCCGCACTTACACAGACATGCTCCTAGTTGGTAACCCAATGCTTACATCCTTTAGAGCAGTGATCCCCAACCTTGGGCCTCCAGATGTTCTTGGACTAAAACTTCCAGAAGCCTTCACCATGACCTCTGCTGGCCAGAATTTCTGGGAGTTGAAGTTCAAGAAAGAACATCTGGAAGCCCAAGGTTGGGGACCACTGCTTTAGAGACACAAATCTGCACAGCATTTCTCTCATTTGGAGTTCCAGGGATACAGCTAAGCCTACAAATCAAACCGGCAACATCTACCATCTCATTTGTTCCAAAGAAGAAAAAGCTAGGCTAAGACAAAATGCCAGAACACCATGGACTACTGGTTCTCTCTGGGACATAACATTCTATTTATTCCAAGTAAAAAAGGCATAAAAATAATGAAGCAAACTGCAGAAGAGAAGAGGTGAAGAAAAGGGTCCCACTGTTTCCCCGCAGGGAGTGATTCACGGAATAGGCTAGCAGCAGCAGAACGTTGAGAGACATAATGAAGTTTACACACAGCGAGCGGCTTAGGGCGAGCCACAGAGTCTGAGTTGTCCTTTAAGCAGAAAGGCGCTACACTCGCCTCCAACAATACTGTAGTATCATTAGGAAATCAAACGTTAAGTGCCAAACAAGATTTTGCCACTTAAGCTTTTTATACGCCAATTGGATTTGCCTTGAGAATTTTCCACGGGTCGATCTCACCCTTTCCTTCAAGGTGAGTTAAAACTAAAGGAAAGCAAAACAGACCAAAACGAAAGGCTGAGCTGTCTCAGAATAAAGTATGAAAGATGTATTGAAGAAAGAGTGTCCTGCCCGGTCGAACTCTTTGTCCAAAGCTGCCCGCTGTGAAATAACCAGGGCTGCCGATCAAGGTCCCACCTCTAGGGGGAGTCCAGAGCATAAGGACAAACTCCGCTTGGCTTCCGGCTCCTTCCGGAGAAACCACAAACCACGTTCCCTAAGGGCTGCTTTCTGCACAATCAATTTAAATCATGTTAATGCTTCTGTAAGCTCTTATTACAACGAACAGGGAGCCTGTATACAATATTAGTCACATAGGACCTTGTAGGATTATTTTTTTAAACAAATGACAAAACTAGAAACAATGCAGGAAAAGAGGTCTCAACGGTGCTTAATTCTCAAGGCATACTTGCTCCAAGAGGTTTTGCTGTACGAGTCAAAATGCATG